ATACCTTGAGGCAGTTGCTTAGTTATGTCAAAGGAATGAAGATCACAGAGAACGCTCCACTGGTTCCAGCTTCACAATGGTAGAAACCAACAAACTCCTTTCGAATCTGTTGAGTTGAGTCGACAAATCGTAGGACTAAAGAGAGCTGCTCTTTGTTGGAGATATCAGCTGACTCGTCTGCCACCACTGAGAACAGCTTACTTACTACAATTTCTGCTGAGATTTTTGAGGTAATGTGGCTGCCAACGGTGTTAATAATCTCGTTCTAGATCGTTTTCGAACGGTAGGTAGCATTTCGAGGTGCATTTTCAAAGTTATCTGTAGCGTGTTGTCTCCACTGTCAACACGAAATGCCAGCAAAGCTTGGGAGTTACCCGGAATAGTTTTCTCGTCGGGTTTTTTTGATTGCACCTCGCAATGCCACGGCATAATGACCACAAAAGACAGCGGTCTTAATAATAGACTTTATCCTCTCACTATTTTGTTCAGCGATTTGGTTTAAACTGTTCGTCAATCCCCACAGTACGCCGTGCCATCATGTCCATAAAGTTTTCCATAGCCACCACAGAGAAGTTGTGTGTTTCGCACTAGCGGCGAAAGATATTAAAAATTCCATAAAGTGGCCAAATTCCGAAGTTGAAACCTTGAATATAGTTAATCCATTGCAGTTAAATGTAACACTTTTATCTGACATTTGGATCTGACATTTGCAAATCTCCGATTTGTGCTCAACTTAACTGGTTGTCTTTTGACGAGGGGGGAAAAAGAAAGCACAGCACATTGTGGCCTAATGGGTTTAAATGGTATATTTTTATCCGAGGGGAAGATCAAACTTCATTTTCTTACCATTCCTCTAATTGAACCGTTCTTCGAATCTCGCTTCAAACGTCCGAGGATCGATGCCATCTGAATCGTCTTCGACAGAAACGTAATTCTCCTCGGCGTCGTTTGCAAGAGGCTCGTGTTCATACGGATTCACAACCGAGTTTACAATTAGTGTATCTTCATCGCCGAAATCCGAAAATGTAAATTTTCATTTTCTGCGTCAGATTTCTCGCTTTCAAAACTCCGTTCGCTCTCACTGTTTGATAAACTCATTTTTTACTTATGGAATTTATACAGCGCATCTATCAAAACACTATCAAAGCTCTATGCTCATATTTCGACTTCTTTCCTTGAATGATAATGATACAGTTACCATATTTCTATATACAACTATGATATTGATACGTAATAATTTATTGTTACAACTTGACCTTGAATAATAATGATATATTTACCATGTCTTCTATATACAACTATAATATTGATACGTAACAATTTACTGGAAATCCTTAACTGTTTAATGTCAAAGTTAACGACCGTTTCATCTGACTTGTAATCATTTTTTTCAGCCACTTTTTTTTATTTTCCTTTCTTTGTTTTCCTCTTTTCCTTTCTCCTTCTTTTCCTTTCTTCTTCTTTTCCTCCAGGTTTTTAGTAGTTTGCAGGATTAAAAATTCAAACGATTATATTATTGCTTTCTATCGATTTACGCGTCCAAGCATCCGCATCGTAGACATAATGTGGTTTATTCACGTTATTTTCAATGCAACTATTTATTTAACTAATTTTTTGCTTTCTTGTACTCATGAAATAAATTACTCGATCCATGCAGTCTTTATCGGTTTTTTCCTTCAAAAAACCTCAAGCGATTACCAGTCACATTTGACAAAGATGGTAATTAAAGTAAATAAATAATTCATGGAACATACTCGCTTCGTACTTTTAGTGTGATTTAGAGGGGATGAATATCAGCAGTCAACAGAAATCTAGCTTTGAAAGCATGCCAGAGAATATTTGGGTTAGAATCATTAGCAGGAAATTGTAAAGTGTCTATCAAATAAGAAAGAAATATATTTTATCGTAGTGTTTGTATTGCCTAGAGTGTTAAATGTTTTTGATTGCTCTTCTCTCGGACAGTCTCTGACAAATATAAATCAGGCTGTGGTCGCTTATTTCCAGATGTTTCGTATCCCCAATGGTTGATCCTCGATATGTTTCAGTTGATGTTTTGCGACCGTTTAAGCCTTCTTGAATCTAAGTGTTTTTTAATAATTGAATCGCCAATGGTAATCGTGTGTGTCGCATTTGCTTTTTTAGTTGAACGGGATGGTCTTTCGTTCTGTCCTTGTTCATTGTTGTTGTCAACCTCATTTTATATGTGTTTCTTTTATTATAACTAGAAGTCTCTTATTGTTGACGACGTTTTTGTGTACGTTACGTTTTCCATGATTTCCATGCCAGGGCTTTCTTCTTTGACCATATTATCAATATAAACAATCCCAGTAACAATGCCGTTAGGATTTTGGTAAGCCAGGTTTGAGTATAATTCTTGCAGTAATTTCAGTACTTCCAGCAATTTAACTTATAGTTCTTTATATTTTTCCTGGCAGAAATCAGACTCATTTATGTTGGGACAAATGTCAGAATGCTTAGATATTAGAGGGTATGGAAACTTTGCACTATCCTTATAGATCCCTGGTTTTCAAAAACTTTTTTCTCTTTTCTTTCTTTGTTTTCCTTGGCTTTTTTGGGCTTTAATCACAATTTACTATCGAATTTCCTCGTCCAAATTTTGGAGATATTGAATTAAAAAATTCTTAATTATATTTACGTCTTACCGATTTGTCCGAAATAATCAATGTATGTTGTCAAAAACTGTCTAATTTGACGTAAAATTGAGATTTAGTTACGAGGAAAAATTCATGTTTCCTTCTAATGTCAATATGTTGTTTCTGGTTAATGTTATATAACACTGTGCCTGGTGTTATTAATGCACACAAACATTAATTTTAATTCATCCAGTGTCATTACCACATAAAAATTTGGAAATTTTCATTGATTTGTATTAATTATAAATTGAAGGTATTTTTTGATATTTTGGTCACGCAATTTTAGGCATCAAAATGCGTTTTGAGCATCAGCATTGACACGAATCCAAAATTTGACAATACCAAACTGTGCTATCATAAATCATACATCCATTTTACAGGCGAACTATTGCCCCTAGGTTGCTATTAAATATTACATTGAACTGCATATTTGTTGATTTAAGTCTTTTTTTTTACACGAGGCAAACATCTTGAAAAAAGCATTGTTACAGCGAGCTAATATTATTAAGAGCGGAAATAAAACACAGTAAATTATTTTTTGTTTGATAATTTTATATATATGTGAATGAGTTAAATTAGAAAATATTTTCGTTGTAATGTGAATGAACGGGTCATTTTTTGTCTAAAAGTATACTTTTAGATATATATGTTAGCTCTAACTGTGGGTTATATTTTAATTGTCTGATTTGAAATTCTTAAATTGTCTAATATGCTTTCTGCACCGCAGAAGCAAATCAAATATATATTATGTTTTGTGTTACTGTGTTGTATCGTACAGACTTCTTTTCATTAGTGTGTGTCGTACAGTTCATTCTATATCTCTGTGTATGTCATGTTATGTCATCTTCGCTTTTTGCAAGTTTATTTTCCTACTTCTTTGTATCGCCATAATGAGACTATTCAGTTGAGTTACACAACGCTTATCTGTTACAAAAATGTTTACAACCTATAAAATCCTATCGAGATGAGAACGTGTGAAGTGAACATTGATTTGTGAAAAGTACACCGCGCGGCGACGATTGAGAAATGCTTGGACGACAAACTGGGAACTTGTTAATTAAAAATACATTGTTCAACGAATCAATACTCTTTAGAATGAATTTTTTTAGAAATATTTCTTTATGTGTGTGTCGTACAGTTCATTTATTTCTTTATGTCATGTTATGTCATCTTCGCATTTTGCAAGTTTATTTTCCTACTTCTTTGATATCGTCATAATGTTTACATGTTTACATATAATTCATTTTAACTGCTCCAGTTTATCCCACCACTGGGATGCTCTCACCAAATTTGTCAAAAGTCACTTTGAGCATTATTTAAGCCAAAATCTGATCTCTGAAGTTCTAAATCTTCCTTCGTCCACAACACATTATGACAAGGTCTTTGGTTTGTGAAACATCTGCAAAGAGCAGCTGGCTTTCTTTTGATGTTTGTGAATTTTGATGGAGGCACAATCACAAAAAAATATGGATCAATGTAAAACGTCCAATCAATATAATTTATGTTATATCAATGTATATTTACAAATGAGAGTAAATTAATACGTCAGATAATAAATTAATACGTCAAATCGGTTATAGACTAGAGATTCAATGTTTCGTTAAAATTCTGTTTCCCGAGGTATGAATGACAATTTATGTCTTTCAGTTCTACTGTAGATGTTATTTTATTTACATTATCACTGTTGCCTTTCAATCCAGTGTAATAATCATGCTGATTATTCATTAGATAGTGTAATCGTCTGCTGCGTGGCTGAATATGTACGGATAATTTCAGATATCTGTCGTGCCCGCGCTATTTTTCAGCTGACAAAGTGCTATCTGTCCGCGCCCGCCGTTTTACAGCGGTATCGTGCCCGAGCGCCGGAAATTCGCGAGCTTCTCCTCTCTTTTACATAATAAAATTTACAATGGCCGCAAGCACGAGTATGCATTTCACATCAGTTTCAAGGCAGGAAATTACTCGTTTCGGTTTTTTTGCGTCAAATTGAAAAATGAAACGAAACTTACCTGGAAGTTGAAGTTTAATGAGGATTCTACCGACTTGTCATGCGAAATTTATGACCATTGCGAAATACATAACCACGCGTGACGAGTCACGAATTTCGCGGTTTACTCGAGCGAAAAACATGACGATTGCGAAATCTATGATTTCGGCGGCTAAGTGCGACTGGTTTGGTTTTGGCTAATTTTGATCAAAATTTTAGTAAGTTTTAGTAGTTAATCGAGAATAAGTGTAAAACAAGGATTTACTAGGAGAGATAAAACATCGTTGAAGGCTATTTACATCGCTAAAATACTATTTGAAAAAGTATAAACGGCATGTTTTATACGAGCGCCGTGATATTAACCCAGTCCAAGGTTCACAATCTTGTCAAGAACTTGACTTTGACTTGTCAATTTCTAGCAAGACCTTACACAAGATCCTGCCAAGATCTTTCTAAAACCTTATTAAATCATGCAAGAAACTGTAAAACGTTTTATCACATTTGTTGACCGAGACCTGGAGGTTGCCCCAGCAGCAGTATCGAGGCTGTAAGCCTGGGCTCCTAACTACAATGTGGCAACGGCCAAGCGAAGAAACGAGGTGAGGAGAAGGGTGAAGAGGAGTTGCTTTCTCCAGACGATTTCCAAAGATTAACTGACGGACATGTGGCGCAGGAAATCAAAAAGTTGTTTGAAATTGCACAGAAAGATCCTGAAGCAATCTCACTCAGAGATTTCAGCAGAATGAGAGATTATGTCATGCTTCGTGTCACAATGGGGAGTGGGCAGAGGTACGGGGCAATCTCGAACTTGTCCCTTAAAGACTACATGGAAGGAGAAAAAATAAGCGGGGAGGGAGACGAGGTGCTCTATCGCACGAAGACGGCACGACACAAAACAGCATCAATTGGGCCGACCAAATTGTTTTGGCGAGAGGACGTCAAAAAAATGGCCGACATCTACATCAAACGTCTTCGGCCAATGTATGCAAACGAACTTTCGGTCATCCCAGGAAAACCTGGATTTGAAACAGGAGGAGGCCATCTTCATAACACTAAGCGGACGGGCAATGAACGAAAGCAACATAAGCCAATCGATCGTACGGCTTGGTAAAACATGCAAAAGGATTTAAAAGGAACACTGAAACAATCTCGATTACGAAAATCAATCATATCCACCCATCGCAATTCAGGAAGCACTACCAGCAAACAGGAAATGGCGTCACAAATGACGCACTCTGTCAAAACCGCAGACAAATATTACGATTTGCGGAACACAAATCAGACTGATGCTGAGATGGCAGAGTTCCTGCATCGTATCACGACAGGGGGAGAAACGGAGATGGGCAAAAGCAGGTAAGTTCTTGTTTTCCAATGGACCAATAGAGATGAATATGTCAAATGGATAGAGTGTTTAAAAACATTTGCGCTTCTTAAATATCAAATTTTCTTATTTAGAGCAAGGAATCCTGTAGTCCGTCACCGGAGGCCTTAAAAGAGGAGGAGACAACAATGGTAAAGTACACTGATAATTCGGATTAACTGCTTACTCCTTTCTGCCCTCTACACCCACAATTTTTCCACATTAACAGAAAAGGAAGCACGGTGAAAGTTCGAAAAGCCCTGGGTCATCTCCAAAGGTAACATATTCTGATATTTCATGTTTGAGTATAATGTCTCACAATTTTCACTCTTTCTCATTTGACAGAAAAAGAAGCATAAATCCCCAGGATCATCTTCGAAGGTAAAATATTTTGATATTCCATGTTAAATTTATTCCTATCCTGTCTCACAATTTTAACTCTTTCTTATTTGACAGAAAAGGAAGCATACACAGTCCCCAGGGACATCGTCAAAGGTAAAATCTTTTGATGTTTCTTGTTAATTTATTGCTACCCTGTCTCACAATTTTCACTCTTTCTCATTTGATGCAGAAGATGGAAATGCAGAAGCTGGATGCCCGCCCATCAAAACAATTCCATAGAGAATTGTTTCCAGATCAGGTAAGAGTAACATCAAATTTTTTCCTTACTCGTATAACAGATCTCAATATAAAATATAAAACCCTTTACTTACAGGTCGCTGAGCTGGATGAAAAAGAGGCAGATTACCAAGGTCTGACGCCTGTGCAGGCCTTAGTAATGGAGACCCTGAGCCCTGGGAAGAGAGTTTTAGAAGACATTGCTTGCCGAAAATACGCAAGGGACGAAAACAAGCTAATCTACAAAGCAACGAAGAGCTTGCCCGATCATGCAGGAACAAATGAGATATACGCCTGTTTGATACAAGATAAATGTGTGTCCGAAAGCTCACTCTTAACGCAGCACACGCGGCAGTCCCTCAGGGACAAATTTAAAAGTATACGCAAAAAGGTCGCGGCAAAGAGAAAAGACAACCTGTAAATAATTTGTAAATAAAAACATGTAAATAATTTCAAACATTGTACTATATTGATATTTTAGTTAAACATATCACAGCCGAGACTGTCACCATTATTAGTTTGTAATAATTGTAAATAATTGTAGATAATTGTGGATATTTGTAAACAATCGTAAATAATTGTAAAAAATGTAAATGATTGCAAATAATTTTAAATACTGGGAAATAGTCGTACATAATTGTAAATAGTTTATTCACGTTATTATTATTGATATTGGGAAAAGACTTCAAATCTTTTAATATAAAGAAATTATTCAAAACTGTTTCTTGAGTGGATTTTTGTCACGCTTGATTGGATTAAGTATTTAATGACGTATATCAGTCAAAAAGACTGAAAACCGGAAGTGGGCATGGTCAACTATGGCATAATTGAAATAAAATTGCCCAATTAAATATTCATGGTCTTTTAGTGGATTTTGTGGTCCTTTAGTGGTCCTTAAGTGTTGAAAAATACAGGCAAATTTAAATTTCCCGCCATTTTTTAAACCAATCATTTCAAAAATTGGCACAGGGATAGACCACGCCCACTTACGCATGCTCACAAAGTTACCGGAAGTTTCGGTATGATCATCTGCAAGATGTTTGTCACGATCCCGCAAGCTGCAAGATCCTGGAAAATTTTTCTATAATCATGCAGAATACTGGAAGATTTCGCCATAATCTTGCAGGATCGTGGAAGGCTTTTGCTATTATCTTGATTACCCAACTACTTTAATACCCAACCACTGTAGTGCGCAGTATTATATTATCTAACCACTTCTTTACCAAATTGACTCTAGTACACCATCTGGTACTCATCTACTTGTATATAATTACCCAATGAGTACCAGAGTGGTATTTATTTCATGAAATACTGGGTACTACAGTCGGGTACTAATGTCATTTGGGAAATTAAGTGGTTGAGTAATAGAGTGGTTAGATCATTTGTTTGGTTGGGATATCCCAATAATGAATGTAAGGATTCAGATAGCAATATAGTTGGTATTATACTACCACAAAAATTCAAGTATAATGGTAAATTGCTTCATTTAATTTGGCTTAATTGGCTTTAATTGGCTTAGTTTGTTTGACACATTTGTTTATGTAAAAAGTGCATCAGGAATCTGTAATGTTTATATCATTGATATCAAGCAATGCTAGTGTTTGAATTCTTTGTCCAGATAGCAACATAATCAACATCGTTAGCTTTTGTGTAAGCTTTTTAAGTGAAATTTTTTCCAGACTTGGCAATGTCCTCAGATAGTTGAACACCATCCCCACATCCCATGTGTCTATATATCGCAGTAGTGCTGGTCGTTAGAAAATGCTTTTTAAAAACCTACAAGCGAGTGGATGTTTTCTGCAGGGTGTCTTGCCAGCTAGAATCAGAATTGATGACAATGCTGGTTTGATTCCACTTTATTGCTTTCCTTCAAACAGCTGTGTGAGGAAATCCAAAGCTTCACCTAAAGGGGGGCAAATCGGATCAATCTGCCTTACACAGCAATGTTGTCGGCATTTTTCAAGGTAGACTTTATATTGTTTTGTGTGCCATTCCGCCAGACACTGTTTCTGAACTACTGAGTTAACTTTCTTAATCTGCTGAGTTTCTGAACGCTCAGCAGATTCGCTCATCAGATGAGCGAATCTGCTGGGCGTTCAGAAACTCAGCAAATTCAAATTATCAGAGCTCTGACGGCTCTGTTTGTTTTGTTCCTCGCCCCTTTCGTGGAGGCACAACCACAATTTCATCATCGTCATCCTGATAGCGAGTATTACACTGAATCAAGCGAAGTGTTCCAGTGTGAAACTTCTGATAGTGATAATCCTCCTGTTCATGTTGTTGAGCGCGAACAAACGTAACGGAAGAAAGGAAACAAACACTGCTCCCTATATCTGCGAGCATTGAAAGTTTTAAAAGAGTCTGCGCTGATGGTACTTTTGAAAATAGTGAAGATGAAGGTAAATTAACTATTCCTGCAATATAAAACCTGGCATTGTTTGCCAGAAACCAAAAAGTTAAAATTCCCAAATTCACACAGATTTTCCCGGAAGAAGCTAGTCGCCGCAGCTAATTTTGATGATCTTAACTCGTCATTGATGGTCGTTCTCATCATTTAACTCGCTCCCAGGAACACTAGTACAGCCCATTTAAATGACTAATATGCAGTATATAACGTTAAACTTGTGGTATGCTTGTGTTCGAATATTGCATCGCACCACTTAGTTTTTTCTTTTCGATATTTGCAGACTCTCAAATTGAACCAGTAACAATACACTTTGGTTCATTCTTTCGGTTTTTTGAGGGTATGGTTTATTTTCTATATGTATACTTGTCGTTAATAAGAGTGTGAGTGCGTTGTTCTAGCAACCTGGAACCGAGTTATATAAATGATGAGAACGACCATCAATGATGAGTTCGAGTGTCTACGGAATCGCGTGCGGTTGATGTCGAATGTCCCCATGTGCACTCTCCTGATCACGTGACGGAATAATTAGTAAAGCCCGCCCACTCTTCTAACCATCTTCGCCTGTTAACGATGTTCACATTCGATGGTAAATTAAGACACAGTATTTCGAAAGCAAACAATTAAACATGGAATGAGTTTTCAGTGATAAGGCAGTCCTCATGTGTTATACTACATGGTTTTGTCTGTAGAGTTGTAATTTGTAAAGTTCCCAGACCCAGGGTTTGTTATAAGCGGCTAAATGTAATATAAAAACTCTTGCCACACAAGATGGCGAAGTGTGCCTGATACGTCATATTGCAAGAGCCGAGTAATTATACTTCGGTCGTGTAGTGAAGAGCAGCTCCAACAGGCTCATGTAGTGTAATCAAGTAAATAGTAAAAAGTTTAAACTTTGAAATTAAAGTATTATTAAAAATTACTTTCCATAATCAGTTTTAAAAATAGTTTTGAACTAATTCTAGTTGTACATGAAGTTATACTGTTATATACATATCAACATCGGGTAAATTTTGATTTTATTCATTGTCTTTGCAAAATTGTAGCTATAGGCAACTCGGCTTCTTTTATAAATTATGTATATGTATTTGTAAGGTAGTAAATTAAATAATAATACTGCGATATAGCTGACACCCTCTTTCCCATTTTTGTTCATCACAATTTAGACTTCGTCAGGTATATAGTCAGAGAGCACATCGGGTTCTAAATATAATAAAATATGTACTATGATTATGTCGAATCTGTCTGAATGCATCTGAACCTGTCCTTTCTATTTTCCTGGGGATATTTTAGCTATAAAAGCTTGGATAATCAGCACATGTAAGACATTGTCAAGCACCATTGTTTAGCGAATAATGAATATACTCGTGTTGAAGAAAATATTGCTCACTCGTGAGCATTATTTTCTCCAACACTCGAAATAAATTCCATATTTCTGCGGAACCATATGATATTCTTCATATGGGTTCATTCGTTGTGGGTTGATTCGTAAAAACCAATTTCCATCATCATACTACTTAAGAGGTCAAGGGTCAGAGAGTCAACATATAGACCAAAGACATGATAAGGGCATACAATAATAATTTAAATATATATTAATCCAAGTCCCTGGAAACCAATGTTGTAACAAAATGTGCTTCCAAGCTTACCATCGTCATGGTCTTCTTGGACAACGTTTAGGATGATAATAACGAAAACATCAATTTCGGACGATCTTAAGGTAAAAAAAGTAAATACACATGTAAATATTGTAAACAAGCAAAGCAAAATTGCATTGTCTGTATTGCTAAGGGTGGAAGAAAGGCCCAAGTCAGTTACAACAAACCTGAACTGAATCTCCTTGTCAGCAAAAAGTAAAGAAAAGTCGCGGAAGAATTTATGCAAAATGGAATGAATTAGAATTCCAGATACACTAAAAGTGTACGGCAATCTTGCCATTTGCTGATGGTAAAAAAGTATAAACAAATTTACGACAAACCTGAAAAGGCTGAACTGGTTTTCCCCATTGATAAAAATAATGGGTGTGACCATGAAGAGAACAAATGTCCGCCATCTTTCACTAAAATAAAATATATAAACTTGTAAAGTTCGTTAAGTATTAAATAACATATTTATATACGTAACATGGGAAAATGTACTTTGCAACAGAATTTTTGACTATATACGATATGAAGTTGGCATTCACGTCCATGTCTGCAAATATACACACCTTAGCACTAAAATTACAAGCATACTGATACGTTAAAAAACATCTATTTCATTATGAGCGCGTATTCTGTATTTACGGTGCAAAGTTGTCGTGTGCATGTCCCTGCGGATCCGCGTAGCGTAGGCAGCGCCAGCGAAAAAAAGCAATCAAGGACCCGAAATGGCCAGAAATGTCAGTCATTTGAGCCCGCGAGCGGTATGCGGTCGCACGCAATATTCTATTTAAATGGCCAACAGAAATGTTAACATTTCATAGGAAGATGGAATTCAAAGTGTGATATAACTAAAACAAATCATTCTTTTTGATTTGCCAAAGTTGATTATTAGTGCGCCATTGTGGTTGAAAATATTTACGAAAAAATATATACGAAACAATAAAACCGTACATTTCCCCTCGATTGATTTCCACTAGCTGCACACCAGTCAGTCAAACCTCTAATAATGCTCCGTAATTAGGGGGAAAATTAAGAAAATTCCAATGTTTGAGGTGAACTATTCAAGTGACCATTCATGCCATGAAATTTGCCAAAGTTGATCCATGAAATGCAGATAATGCTTAACTTGATTTCGAAGATTCAATAAATTTCAGCTAAATCGTGCCTTTCCCTTTTGCTTTTGAATCTTGCCCATATCCACGCTGTTCTGTACCATGAATTTTGCCACATTTTATCGAAGTTTTCGTTGAAAAAAGCTGCGTTCAACACGAAATATATGGCATGTTTGTTATTGAAATCCTCACCAAAATCTCAGCTTTCTGAATCCGTTGTCTGCTAGTACAGCAGTGCTCCCCAATTCGCGCATATGCCCTCAAAGGAAATCCCAAGCGCGGTTAATTGCGCGAAATTTAAAAGTTGTTTTTATATATACTTCAAAACTTCGCCAG